TGTTACGTTATATTCGACGTAACGCGTCGTAGGTCATATCTTACTCTATAGGTAAACACCAACATAAAACACTTACTACGTCGAGTATTAAACCTGCATTGATAACAACATCCCGTGCATGAGATTGATTCTATTATTGGTGCCATCTTTCAAATAATTAGCCTTTGAGGTCCATTGAAATGCAGTCGAAATCTTTCTAATGTGTTGAGTATACCTTTACAGCGATGTGTAATGACCACATGACCACATTCAACCACACATGCGGCAACTCCACTGGCTTCCAATATCCTCTCGCATCAAATACAAGTCTTCCAATCTTTGCTTCAACTCGTTCACTGACCCTCACTTTCCTGTCTATCTCTCTGATCTGTTGCTTCCTTACATCCCCACAAGACAACTACGTTCTTCCATTGACAGTAGAACCCTCTCAATCCCAAGAACTAAAACTAAGACCATCGGTGAACGCTCCTTCTGCTTCCATGGGCCCACGTTCTGGAACCAGCTCCCCTTCCATATACGTCATAGTGAAACCTCGTCCATTTTCAAAAAGTCCCTTAAAACTCATCTGTTTAGGTCCGCCTATGACCTGTGATGCACCCTCCTTGCCCTACCTCATTTTCTGTTTCGGGTTGATCCTGAAGTGTCAAAGTGTCCTCGTTTTATAGCCATTTTCATTGTTTCTATAGAATAGTAGTTACTATCCTAGTGTCTCATTTGTATTTACTTAGTTTACATGTTTTAATAATTGTAAAGCGCTTAGAGCTTTATGATAAGCGCTATATAAAAATGCCTAAATAAATAAATAAATAAATGACACAAGGGGGAAACTTTAGCGGACACCAGTGTAACGCGACACAAAGGGGACTCTTTGGTGACACCAGTCTCTTGCGACACAAAAGGGAAACCTTGGCGACACCAGTGCCTTGCGACACAAAAGGGAATCTTTGGTGACAACAGTGTCTTGCGACACAAAAGGGAATCTTTGGCGACACAAAGGGGAATCTTTGGCGACACCAGTGTCTTGCGACACAAAAGGGAATCTTTGGCCACACAAAGGGGAATCTTTGGTGACACCAGTGTCTTGCGACACAAAAGGGAATCTTTGGCGACACAAAAGGGAATCTTTGGTGACACCAGTGTCTTGCGACACAAAAGAGAATCTTTGGCGACATAAAGGGGAATCTTTGGTGACACCAGTGTCTTGCGACACAAAAGGGAATCTTTGGCCACACAAAGGGGAATCTTTGGTGACACCAGTGTCTTGCGACACAAAAGAGAATCTTTGGCGACACAAAGGGGAATCTTTGGTGACACCAGTGTCTTGCAACACAAAGGGGAATCTTTGGTGACACCAGTGTCTTGCGACACAAAAGGGAATCTTTGGCGACACAAAGGGGGAATCTTTGGCGACACAAGTGTCTTGCGACACAAAAGGGAATCTTTGGCGACACAAAGGGGATTCTTTGGCGACACCAGTGTCTTGCGACACAAAGGGGACTCTTTGGCGACACCAGTGTCTTGCGACACAAAAGGGAATCTTTGGCGACACCAGTGTCTTGCGACACAAAGGGGAATCTTTGGCGACACCAGTGGTCTTGCGACATTAAGGGGAGTCTTTTGCGACACAGATGTCGAAATTTCTCTGGATTTCAGTCGGCAAGGTAGATAATTATGTTGCTGCCATGTGTTGAGACAGCGCACACTGCACTAGCGAATGTGTATAAAATATTAATCAGTTTTTGCGGTGAAACAATGATACCGAGGAAAAGAAATGCTGGACTCTGGGGACATTAGAATATGTTTTTTTTTTTTTAAAGATCCTAAGAGTTTATGCATTCCCGTACCCCCGTGTCGCCTACATATGTATATTATGGCCGTTCACATACATTCTACATTAGGACAACGTGTGCTTATCCGCGTGCCAATCTGTTTTTACTCGCACATCTCACGTGAATGTCACGTGAAGGTCACGCCGCCAGAATGGAGACAGCAGATGTCCCCTTTGCCCCCCCCCTTCCCACCCCACACGTTCGTGTGTACGGCCAGTGTTGGTCACGTGGCATGCCGTGACGAACGTTGGCATTCACCGAAACATCGAGGGCGAACTCCGTGTTGATAGGTTTATTATGTAACATGCACTCAAATATCAAAGTGAGCAAACCGCGGGGCAGAAATGGCAACAGTTGAGACAACGCTGTAGCATGGGGTCTGTGGGGTGTTCAGTGTGGGGAGAGCCAGTGGTGGGGTCTGTGGGGTGTTCAGTGTGGGAGATCCAGTGGTGGGGTCTGTGGAGTGCTCAGTGTGGGAGAGCCAGTGGCGGGGTCTGTGGAGTGCTCAGTGTGGGAGAGCCAGTGGCGGTGGCTTTTCAGAGAAAGTTGACATGATGTGTGTGTGTTGTTGTTGCTGTTGTTGTTGCTGTTGCTGTTGTTGTTGATGTTGTTGATGTTGTGGCCGCTGCTGCTGCTGGTATTGTTGCTGTTGTTGTGTTTTTGCTGTTGTTTGGACTCATATACTACAGCATCTGAAATATGATTGCATTTGCTGTGAAAGGGTATTATTCAGGTAAACTATAATAGACAATTGTCGCGAACAAAAAAAAAAAGAGAAAGAGAAATTAATAGAGAAAGATTAGGAGAGAATGAAAGAGAAAAGAAAGACAGAAAATTAGCGCCAAAGGGTAAAGGAAAGAGATAGATGATCCGATTGAAGAAACACGTCCTTACTCAGGGGGAAAGATAGAGTGACAAGGAGGAGAAGAAGAAATAAAACATTGAAACTGTCTCACTGTGCCCTAGGACACCAAGGACGGGACAGAATCCCCCTGCGCCCTGGGACACCAAGGACGGGACAGAATCACACTGTGCCTTGGGTCACCAAGGACGGGACAGAATCACACTGTGCCTTGGGTCACCAAGGACGGGACAGAATCCCCCTGCGCCCTGGGTCACCAAGGACGGGACAGAATCACACTGTGCCTTGGGTCACCAAGGACGGGACAGAATCACACTGTGCCTTGGGTCACCAAGGACGGGACAGAATCACACTGTGCCTTGGGTCACCAAGGACGGGACAGAATCACACTGTGCCTTGGGTCACCAAGGACGGGACAAAATCACACTGTGCCTTGGGTCACCAAAGACGGGACAGAATCACACTGTGCCTTGGGTCACCAAGGACGGGACAGAATCACACTGTGCCTTGGGTCACCAAGGACGGGACAGAATCACACTGTGCCTTGGGTCACCAAGGACGGGACAGAATCCCACTGTGCCTTGGGTCACCAAGGACGGGACAGAATCCCACTGTGCCTGGGACACCAAGGACGGGACATATGTCATCAGATAATCTCTTCTTGCCACGATGGTATCGTGCGTATAATCTTTTGGACTCAACGGCAGAACTAAGTAGTCACACGTTGCCCAGTGGTGGTTTTTAATATTTCATGACTTGATGCCAGGAGTTGTGTGCGTACTGCTTAAGAGATGTCAATGTTGGTGGCATGTAGAAGGGAAAAAACAAACATTTAGTTGTAAATGTTAAGTTTGCATGGGGTGGGTAGGGACCAGATTGGATGGTTTTGGATCGGGGTGGAGTGGAATGGGTGGGGGGAATGGGATGGAATGGAATGGAGTGTTGTGTGGTTTAGAATGATATGGGATTGGATAAAACGAAATAGCTACACTTAAATGGAACATTCCTAACAGTGCTCCAAGTTCTTGTTTGAGTCAGGGTGTGTCTCCATCGACACAGTCTTTGTTTGGGTTAGGGGCGCCCTCACCGATACAGTCTTTGTTTGGGTTAGGGGCGCCCTCACCGACACAGTCTTTGTTTGGGTTAGGGGCGCCTTCACTGACACAGTCTTTGTTTGGGTTAGGGGCGCTTTCACCGACACAGTCTTTGTTTGGGTTAGGGGCGCTTTCATCGACACAGTCTTTGTTTGGGTTAGGGCAGGGGTCTCAAACTTGCGGCCCACGGGCCATTTGGTGCCCGTAAGACGATATTTTGCGGCCCTCTACATGACAGCAAACTTATATGTTAATTCGGCCCGCGACTTTCCCCGATTCTCATATCTATAATGTGACCCTCCGCGACGGTTTAAGTCGAATCTCAACAACTAGGCTAATTCTGATAAGATTGTGTTTGTATATTTTTGGACGTTGATTATAATGGAAAAACCCGCTTTAAAATCTGGCTAAAAGCTTTTATGTTATAGCATTTTATGAGACAAACATGGCCACAGTGTGGTTTTGATAAAAGTTCAAAAAGTCACTTAGTGGGTAATGCACAACAATAATTGTGTAAATCGTAGCAATCGGACACAGTGTCAAAGAATCCTTATTAAAATTGCAGCTAGTGTTTACGAGTGAAGGAAATTCCGAGCAAGTCAACTTGGTCACTTTCAAAAATAGGCTAAATCAAAAAAGGCCTTTTGTACGAATTTTTTTTTTTTGTAAATTCATTCTCCCTACAATACCATCTTCCCTCACATCAATAATTCATAAATTTTGCCATTTTTTTTGGAGCACGTTTTAGCCTTCAAGGCTTTCCTTGAGAAGGATGGGGTGGTTGTTTCTGTGCCAAGTGACCTCCGATGGCTCATGGTGTCTCTACTGACACAGTCTTTCTTTTGGGTTAGGCTGTGGCTCGTTTCCTTTTCAAGCTGACGCCAATAATGTTTCGATACATTCGGGGTTTTTTTTTTTGGTTTTTTTAAAGTTATAATTATTTATTTTCAAAAATATTTATCAACTTTACGCTGTTTATTTAAGAGATCTATTTTCCATGCATAATTAATAATGAAAAATATCTCCATAGATCTATTTCAGTTTTGTTTTATGTTTTCAATTTTT